TATTTCTATAGACCAAGGCCTGGGCAGGGGATAACCCCACACCGCAGAGCCCACTGAACATCTCTAAAACTTTGTTGACAATGAGTCTATCACTGCAGACTTCTTCAAGTATGTGTCAGAAATTACAATCCAGATCATTACCCAGTGGAATTTTATGGAAGAAAATATACGCTAATTTAGCATATAGGCCTACAATGTTTGCAAACATCTAAAGCAATAAAAACAAAAACACTCCCGCCTCCTCCTTTCAAAGTGCTCTCCTCTGAGAGCTATAGAAAAGCACCTTTGTTTATCAGTCAGCTTTTTTCCCTCACTAAGCTCTAGCAGAGTACACTAAACACATAAAGGGACTCTTTAAATAAAGGCCCCACTGAACATATCAAGTTCCTATGACTAGATAAATCAAGAACACGTGGAGAAAATTCAGGATATAAACTTGATGGAACATAAGGTATTGATAAACATGAGCATATAAAATCGAATTGGCTAAATATAGAGGCTAAAATGTAGTGCTTATGAAAGAAATTGCAAAACAAAGACTGGCAGAGTAGGGTATTGACGGGTCAAACTGTGTCAACCCGAGTTAAGTTCAGATGAGCGCGCGGAAGCTGACCCGTGCGCGCACTACGCTTGCACTGGTCTGTTTTAAAGACCCCGCTTTTATTTCAGTTCTTTTATGTCATTATATCTTCGATTGTCTGCCAAATGAATGGAATTTATTTAAAATGTATGCCATGTCAATGAGATTTGTTCTTTCGTTTGAAAGACCAATTGCCTTCAAATGACTAGGCCTATTCAAAATCTAACTTAGATGTGGAATCACAAGGTTTGCTTAGAATACCATTTGATAACTATTAGTCTAGCCCATGATCAGGCTAATATAAACAACAGCTGTAGCCTAGCCTATAGTCGCCCAGTGCCAGTGGCCTATCCGTTATTAATTATAGCCCAAGTTTAGCTATCAACATAATAATAAGAAAGTGACTACTACGACGTCTAATAAAGAAAACTACAACATTTTAATAGAGATCATCTTCATTCTGCGACCATGTCATCATAATGCGCCAAGAACCGTTAAGGAGACAGGACCACATTTTCTTGCAGTATGGAAAAGAACGCCTGTCGTTGTAAGGCAATGCGAAAACGTATTTTAATGAATTTACAATATAAAAGCTACGTTTAAATTTCTTCCTGCGTTCTTCCTTATTTGTTCCAGTTTTTTTTATCTGGAAGCTGCTACTTCTCTCCCTGTCAAACGTTGTTAGCTAGCTGTTGCTAGCCATACTTCCATGTTTATCAACAAGGTGTGTTGTTGATGGACCTTCACATGCATTTTCTGGCTTGTAAACATATCTGCTAGACAAAAGCTACTTGCATCATTGCTAGACATCTCCTTTTTTGTGGGAATATGCCTAGTAACCTGTTCATGTTTGTATACCACTCTGTGTTCTTCCCTGAATGTGGGCTCTCGGCCATGCAGCTAGAGGTCTCTGTGGTGGTACTCTCAGCTCCTGGAGAATAGCCTCTGGGTCTGGGCTCCTATAATACAATGGGAATGTGTAACTGCAACGTTGTCTTGGGGATGGTCTCCACTGTCCACCACAGTGGATGAAACAGGAGAGGGTCAGGTGCCTAACAAGAAGAATCAGGATCCCCGAACCCGTGCCACCATTGGCAGTCTTGGCCGGAAGATCCACCAGCGCCACCTGCAGGTGATTAGGAGACTGGCGAGAACATGGTTACCATGCATCGAGCTGATGTCCTCAGACTGATGGACGAGAATGGCTTAAAACTGGTGCCTCAACGAAAACAAAGATCCACCCGTCTACAGTCTAATGACTGGCAAACAGATCCACGAGGAGAACAGATCCACGAGGAGCAGCTTAAACTGCGTGAGAAACAAAATGCCAAAACAGGTGTGTAATATTTAGCATAAATGTACAGTACATCTCTGCCTTGCACACTGGTTGTATCTGAATTCTCTAAAATGCATTCTCTCCTATCAGAGGGGTATACTACAAAATAGTTTCAATGAGTTAGCCAGCTATGTTCTGAAATAACAACAAAAAAATGAAATTGTGTTTTCGACTCAACAACCAAAAGAACATATCAGTTTAGCTTTCTTAATTAACCAAAAGAAATCCAGTTATTTCTGGTTGTTTATCAAAGTTAGCTGTCTAACTCATTGAACTGGCTTTGTAGTATACCCCTCTGATCGAAAAGGAAAAAAAAAACTACTATCCATATGTCTGTCTCACCACAGGCCCTGTGCAGGTAAAGGAGGTCACTTTTTCCTCTGACATTGGTAACCATGGTCTTCTAACCAAGCTGTGGCAGGTCCAGAACTGGCTGGATAAAAAGCACAGAATCACTCTGAGAACAGGATGTGTGGAACATGCACAACCACTGGTGAGATACAGTGGCTTGCGAAAGTATTCACCCCCCTTGGCATTTTTCCTATTTTGTTGCCTTACAACCTGGAATTAAAATAGATTTTTGGGGGGTTTGTATCATTTGATTTACACAACATGCCTACCACTGAAGATGCAAAATATTTTTTATTGTGAAACAAACAAGAAATAAGACAAAAAAACAGAACTTGAGCGTGCATAACTATTCACTCCCCCAAAGTCAATACTTTGTAGAGCCACCTTTTGCAGCAATTACAGCTGCAAGTCTCTTGGGGTATGTCTCTATAAGCTTGGCACATCTAGCCACTGGGATTTTTGCCCATTCTTCAAGGCAAAACTGCTCCAGCTCCTTCAAGTTGGATGGGTTCCGCTGGTGTACAGCAATCTTTAAGTCATACCACAGAATCTCAATTGGATTGAGGTCTGGGCTTTGACTAGGCCATTCCAAGACATTTAAATGTTTCCCCTTAAACCACTTGAGTGTTGCTTTAGCAGTATGCTTAGGGTCATTGTCCTGCTGGAAGGTGAACCTCTGTCCCAGTCTCAAATCTCTGGAAGACCGAAACAGGTTTCCCTCAAGAATGTCCCTGTATTTAGCGCCATCCATCATTCCTTCAATTCTGACCAGTTTCCCAGTCCCTGCAGATGAAAAACATCCCCACAGCATGATGCTGCCACCACCATGCATCACTGTGGGGATGGTGTTCTCGGGGTGATGAGAAGTGTTGAGTTTGCGCCATACAGAGCGTTTTCCTTGATGGCCAAAAAGCTCAATTTTAGTCTCATCTGATTAGAGTACCTTCTTCCATATGTTTGGGGAGTCTCCCACATGCCTTTTGGCGAACACCAAACGTGTTTGCTTATTTTTTTCTTTAAGCAATGGCTTTTTTCTGGCCACTCTTCCATAAAGCCCAGCTCTGTGGAGTGTACGGCTTAATGTGGTCCTATGGACAGATACTCCAATCTCCGCTGTGGAGCTTTGCAGCTCCTTCAAGGTTATCTTTGGTCTCTTTGTTGCCTCTCTGATTAATGCCCTCCTTGCCTGGTCCGTTTTGGTGGGCGGCCCTCTCTTGGCAGGTTTGTTGTGGTGCCATATTCTTTCAATTTTTTAAATAATGGTTTTAATGGTGCTCCGTGGGATGTTCTAAGTTTCTGATATTTTTTTATAACCCAACCCTGATTTGTACTTCTCCACAACTTTGTCCCTGACCTGTTTGGAGAGCTCCTTGGTCTTCATGGTGCCGCTTGGTTGGTGGTGTTGCAGACTCTGGGGCCTTTCAGAACAGGTGTATATATACTGAGATCATGTGACACTTAAATAATGTCCACCTGTGTGCAATCTAACTAATTATGTGACTTCTGAAGGTAATTGGTTGCACCAGATCTTATTTAGGGGCTTCATAGCAAAGGGGTGAATAGATACTCAGTCTCCTGAGTGGCGCAGTGGTCTAAGGCACTGCATCGCAGTGCTAACTGTGCCACTAGAGATCCTGGTTCGAATCCAGGCTCTGTCGCAGCCGGCCGCGACCGGGAGACTCATGGGCGGCGCACAATTGGCCCAGCGTCGTCCAGGGTAGGGGAGGGAATGGCCGGTAGGGATGTAGCTCAGTTGATAGAGCATGGCGTTTGCAACGCCAGGGTTGTGGGTTCGATTCCCACGGGGGGCCAGTATAAAAAAAATATGTATTCACTAACTGTAAGTCGCTCTGGATAAGAGCGTCTGCTAAATGACTAAAATGTAAATATGCACGCACCACTTTTCTGTTATTCTTTAGAATTTTTTGAAACAAGTTATATTTTTCATTTCACTTCACCAATTTGGACTATTTTGTGTATGTCCATTACATGAAATCCAGATAAAAATCCATTTAAATTACAGGTTGCAATGCAACAACATAGGAAAAACACCAAGGGGGCTGAATACTTTTGCAAGGCACTGTATCTATCAGGGATTGGTTTACCTTTACCTGTCTGCTGCACATCACCTAAAACACTTTCCGTATACAGATGCTATTCACCATTCTGTAGTTTCAAAGACACTGTAGAGATGATTGTCTTGGGTATGCATAACGACTACTTCCATCTTCATCCCCCTAACAAGCTCATGGGACTGGAGAACAGATATCCATTAGTATTGCAACGAGTAAACCTCCCATTTCAGACCAAAATGTGTCAACCTGGACAAACCTGATACCTCTTGACTATTCTGTAGTTGAAACCAGCAAAATAGTAAAGACAGTTGGTTTTGAATTAAGTCTCTTTTTATTGCAAAAATATACATTCAAATCTTTATATGTACAAAAACTTTCCTTTGGCAGAACAAAGAGACTCATTAGCAACAAACTAGGCTCAGACATGCATTAAAAAAAAATATACATCTTCTTGTGGACGGAAAAAAGAGTGTGCCCCATTGTCTGTACAAGGACTCCATGTTGACTTTCCTGAGATGTGCAAGTGCTCGATAAGTCAAATGTTAATGTTGTGCTTTTATGGTTTTGACGGCAGGACACAACCCTGGAGCAGATGGTGCAACAGAGAGGTGCTGACAGGATTTGTTTCCAAACCCAAAGTCATCCAAGATGGCAGAGCTGCCATGTGCATCCTGCGTCCACCTTTGGCGAAGGAAGTCAAAGAAATGAACAAAGCTGCCGCAGCACCATCCTCTGGACAGCCCAACATCACTCACTGCTCTCCCCACAGACCTGACAGCACTTAACTTAATAAATACAAATCAAACTGAACAGTTGTGCGTGTAAACTCATGAGATCAAGTACAAATGAAAAATCTACGCACAGTGAACTAAACTAGCGAAGGCTAGTAAAAGTAATTGGCACTGTAAAAGTAATACTGCCATATGGCTAAATCCAGTCAGGTGGTCATTGTTTGATTTCTTAACCCGAGTTGCAAAAGACGGTCTCTTGAAGAAGGGCAATAGGCTCTGATCCAACAGTGTTTGTTTGCTCTGACTGACCCTTTACAATGGATTCTGATTGCAAAGCTACATGGGGCTTTGCACAATGGTTATTCTTGGGCTTGTAACCACTCAGTCTGGAAACCAGGGATCGCTTGGAATGGGGTTTCTTCTGCAGATATGAAAAATGGATGGTTAGCTAATACAGGGCTGAAACGCTAACAGTTACAAATCAATAAACAGCAATAATATGCATTAAACATTTATAGGATGCGAGGAACAGCACAAAATGTACGGTTTAAGTACTGGCTACAAGAAGTGTGTGTTCAAATAAATGAACGTATTCAAGCATACATATGTATATTCTAACCTGTTTCTTCCGTTCTGGATCGTGGGCAACACTGTGGCGTTGTAAGCTTTGCTGCGAAAGACAGACAGTTTTCTATTACAGGGAACATAGGTCCACATATCCCGGCTATCTACCCTCTTTGTCTACCGGACGGGAGTAGTCAGCTAACTAGCTACTTGCTATTAGCCACCGTTAGCGTTTTTTCACCATTGTCCGTGGCCTGCACTACCTACCAGCCAGCTCTAGCCTGGACTATTAATAGGCCAGTCTGCACAGCGCGTTATCGACCCAGAACCTATCGGATTTTCTGCCGGAATCACTGAATCACTGGACCTTTAAGACCGGATCATCGCAACTAGCTAGCTGCAACCAAATGGATGTTGTTGTTGGCTAATCAGCCTTGAGCTAGCCTCGAGTCAGGCACATCTCCCGGCTATCTACCTCTCTGTCAACCGGACGGGACCTCCTAGAGTCGACACGGAGCTCCGCCGATCCATCACGACTGGTCTGCCGACGTAATCGTCTGTGGTTTCAACAGGCTTCACGAAGATCCATCTGCTAGCCCCGGCCCGCTAGCACACGCAAACAACAGCCGTGCTTCCTGCTCGATGTGCTGTAGCACCAATTTGAACTGCTCTCGGACTCACATATTGCTGTTCACTGGACCTTATGATCACTCAGCTGCACAGCTGATGCCTGCTGGACTGTTCCTTTACACGGTACCCTGTCCTGTTAATCTGTTTAGCCTCAGCCCAAATTTTAATCGCCATTACCAGTTATTGTCTTAGCTCTCTCTAATAACACCTGTGATTGCTTTATGCCTCCCTCCCATGTCAATATGCCTTGCCTATTGCTGTTCCAGTTAGTTCTTATTATACAATTTCACTGTAGAACCCCAAGTCCCTCTCAAACAGCTCCTTTGTTCCACCCCCCATACACGCCAAGACCGGCTCAATCGGTGCCTCCAGTGATGCTATCTCTTTCAGTGTTACCCAACGCTTAGGTTTACCTCCACTGTACTCATATCCTTCCATATCCTTGTCTGTACATAATGCCCTGAATCTATTCTACAACGCCCAGAAATCTGCCCCCTTTATTCTCTGTACCCAACACACTAGAAGACCAGTTCTTAAAGCCTTTAGCCATATCCTTATTCTAGTCCTCCTGTTCCTCTGGTGATGTAGAGGCTAACCCAGGCCCTGCAGCCCCCAGTATCACTCCTACTCCCCAGGAGCTGTCATTTGTTGACTTCTGTAACCGTAAAAGCCTTGGTTTTCTGCACGTTAACATCAGAAGCCTCCTTCCTAAGTTTGAGTTATTCACTGCGTTAGCACACTCCGCCAACCCTGATGTTCTAGCAGTGTCTGAATCCTGGCTTAGGAAGGCCACCAAAAATTCAGAAATGTCCATCCCCAACTACAACATTTTCAGTCTAGATAGAACTGCCAAAGGGGGTGGAGTTGCAATCTACTGTAGAGATAGCCTGCAGAGCTCTATCATACTATCCAGGTCTGTGCCCAAACAGTTTGAGCTCCTACTTCTAAAAATCCACCTTTCCAGAAATAAGTCTCTCACTGTTGCCGCTTGCTACAGACCCCCCTCAGCCCCCAGCTGTGCCCTGGACACCATATGTGAATTGATTGCCCCCCATCTATCCTCAGAGTTCGTACTGCTTGGTGACCTAAACTGGGATATGCTTAACACCCCGGCCATCCTACAATCCAAACTAGATGCCCTCAATCTCACACAAATTATCAAGGAACCTACCAGGTACAACCCTAAATCCGTAAACATGGGCACCCTCATAGATATCATCCTGACTAACTTACCCTCTAAATACACCTCCGCTGTCTTCAACCAGGATCTCAGCGATCACTGCCTCATTGCCTGCGTCCGTAACGGGTCCGCGGTCAAACCCCTCATCACTGTCAAACGCTCCCTAAAACACTTTAGCGAGCAGGCCTTCCTAATTGACCTGGCCTAGGTATCGTGCCTGGATGGTTATCGATCTCATTACGTCAGTAGAGGATGCCTGGTTGTTCTTTAAAAGTGCTTTCCTCTCAATCTTAAATAAGCATGCCCCATTCAAAAAATTCAGAACTAAGAACAGATATAGCCCCTGGTTCTCCTCAGACTTGACCAGCACAAAACATCCTGTGGCGTACTGCATTAGCATCGAATAGCCCCCGCGATATGCAACTTTTCAGGGAAGTTAGGAACCAATATACACAAGCAATTAGGAAAGCAAAGGCTAGCTTTTTCAAACAGAAATTTGCATCCTGTAGCACTAACTCCAAAAAGTTTTGGGACACTAAAGTCCCTGGAGAATAAGAGCACCTCCTCCCAGCTGCCCACTGCACTGAGGCTAGGAAACACTATCACCACCGATAAATCTACAATAATCGAGAATTTCAACAAGCATTTTGCTACAGCTGGCCATGCTTTCCACCTGGCTACCACTACCCCGGCCACCAGCTCTGCACCATCCGTTGCAACTTGCCCATGCCCCCCCCCTGCTTCTCCTTCACACAAATTCAGACAGCGGATGTTCTGAAAGAGCTGCAAAATCTGGACCCCTACAAATCATCTGGGCTAGACAATCTGGACCCTTTCTTTCTAAAAATAGCCGCCGAAGTTGTCGCAACCCCTATTACTAGCCTGTTCAACCTCTCTTTCGTAACGTCTGAGATCCCCAGAGATTGGAAAGCTGCCGCGGTCATCCCCCTCTTCAAAGGGGTGACACTCTAGATCCAAACTGTTACAGACCTATATCCATCCTGCCCTGCCTTTCTAAAGTTTTTGAAAGCCAAGTTAACAAACAGATCACCCCGTACCTTCTCCGCTATGCAATCCGGTTTCCGAGCTGGTCATGGGTGCACCTCAGCCACGCTCAAGGTTTTAAACGATATTATAACCGCAATCGATAATAGACAGTACTGTGCAGCCGTCTTCATCGACCTGGCCAAGGCTTTCGACTCTGTCAACCACCACATTCTTATTGGCAGACTAAATAGCCTTGGTTTCTCAAATGACTGCCTCACCTGGTTCACCAACTACTTCTCAGATAGAGTTCAATGTGTCAAATCGGAGGGCCTGTTGTCTGGACCTATGGCAGTCTATGGGGGTGCCACATGGTTCAATTCTTGGGCCGACTTTTCTCCGTGTAGATCAATGATGTCGCTCTTGCTGCTGGTGACTCTCAGATCCACCTCTACGCAGACGACACCATTTTGTATACATCTGGCCCTTCATTGGACACTGTGTTAACAAACCTCCAAACGAGCTTCAATGCCATACAACACCCCTTCCGTAGCCTCCAACTGCTCTTAAACACTAGTCAAACTAAATGCATGCTCTTCAATCGAACCCTGCTGGCACCGGCCCACCCGACTAGAATCACTACTCTCGACGGGTCTGACCTAGAGTATGTGGACAACTACAAATACCTATGTGTCTGGTTAGACTGTAAACTCTCCTTCCAGACTCACATTAAGCATCTCCAATCCAAAGTTAAATCTAGAATCGGCTTCCTATTTCGCAACAAAGCCTCCTTCACTCATGCTGCCAAACATGCCCTCGTAAAACTGACTATCCTACCGATCCTTGACTTTGGCGATGTCATTTACAAAATAGCCTCCAACACTCTACTCAGAAAATTGGATGTAGTCTATCACAGTGCCATCCGTTTTGTCTCCAAAGCCCCATATACTACCCACCATTGTGACCTGTACCCTCTTGTTGGCTGGTCCTCACTACATATTTGTCGCCAAACCCACTGGCTCCAGGCCATCTATAAATCACTGCTAGGCAAATCCCCGCCTTATCTTAGCTCATTGGTCACCATAGCAACACCCACCCGTAGTATGCGCTCCAGCAGGTATATCTCACTGGTCATCCCCAAAGCCAACACCTCCTTTGGCCGCCATTCTTTCCAGTTCTCTGCTGCCAATGACTGGAACGAACTGCAAAAATCTCTGAAACTAGAGACTCATCTCCCTCACTAATTTTAAGCATCAGTTGTCAGAGCACCTTACCGATCACTGCACCTGTACACAGCCCATCTGAAATTAGCCCACCCAACTACCTCATCCCCATATTGTTATTTATTTTGCTCATATGCACCCCAATATCAATATTTGCAAATCATCTCTTTCACATCTATCATTCCTGTGTTAATACTAATTGTAATTATTTTGCACTATTTATTGCCTTACCTCCATAACTTGCTACATTTGCACACACTGTATATATATTTTCTGTTGTATTTTTGACTTTATGTTTTGTTTTACCCCATATGTAACTGTTGTTGTTTTTAATCGCACTGCTTTGCTTTATCTTGGCCAGGTCGCAGTTGTAAATGAGAACTTGTTCTCAACTGGCTTACCTGGTTAAATAAAGGTGAAATAAAAATAAATAAAAAATAAACATATCCATGTTATCACTGACATTTTCACTGTAATGACAATTTGTGAGGACAACTCTCCCATACAAATATACCTTATCAGATACAGAAGCTGATTTTAACTAATTAGAGTGAGGTGAATCTTGTAGCAACACAAGACTCTGGTCAGGTATCCATACCTTCATGGCAAATGTCTTTCCACAGCCTTCATGGGGGCAGGTGTAAGGCCGTAGCTCCTCATGGAAAGAGCCGATGTGGCTTTGCAGGTTGAATGGCGTGGTGAAGGACCTCTGGCACCCCTCCCTGGGACAGATAAACACCTGGCGCTCCTCTGCGTGTACACGCTGGTGCTGCTTCAGGAACCAGGTGTCGCGAAACACCTTGCTACACTCATTACACTGAAAAAGTGCTGGAGGCACAAACAATCACCTTGCAGCGACCTTCATTGACCTCTAAGGAGATGTCATTTGTTGTAATTGTTCAGGTAAAAAAAATGTTTTTATACACATACTATTCTGAAAGCAATGTGTCAATCATAAGGTGTGAGACAGCATACCTCTGTGTAGGTCTCTCCTATGCTTAGTATACTCAGTCCATGTCTTTCCAATGAAAGAACAGCCATCTTCTTCACAGGGATAGCCTGAGAGAGAGAAAAACAACAACATTTTAGCAGTTAGTCTCCTACAGGTCTGTGTCACTCCCAGACAAGCCAGCTGCAGGATCAGGAGATAAATCTTACCTCTGTGCACCTTCTCGTGAAGACGTAGTTTATTGGGGAAAGTGAATCGTTTCTCACAGCCCTCAAAGGTACATCTATAAAGCCAGTGAGCGAGAAAGACAAAGGCAGATATTAGTATAAAAAGCTTGCACTGATCACTAAGAAGTGTTCTTCTCAAGACTACAAAGCTAGGAGTGCCAGGCATGTACTGTCCTGGGTTACAATATCCTAGATATTCAGTTCACGGCTCAAATCTGTCATATTTAAAATGAATTTACATTCACTCCAGGACATGGGTTTTCAACCAACAACATGGAGTAATATACCATTAGCAAAACAAACAGCTTAATATACTCACTGAAAGGGAGGTAGTTTGGTGTGCTGCTGGCACTCATGTGACTTGAGCTGATTGTTCTTCCTGAACGCTTTCCCACATCCCTCAAAGCTACACTGTAAACATGGAAGAGTAAAACAATTATTGCAGCAATGCAAATTACACACCTGTTAGCCAAGCACTGCATTTCATAATACAGAGGCTGAGTTCAACCAGCAAACTGACTAAGACCAACTAAAAATGTAGTAATCAGATTAATTTACCACATATTCATACAGTTTCTCCTCATCATGGTTGTGTTTGCGATTAACATGCTTCTTCAAATTGTAATTTGCGGTGAAGGCCTCTGTGCATCCATCTACTGTACATCTGTCAACAAACAGAACAACACAATTGTAGCCAGAACTCTTCCTGTATTCAATTTGTCTGGAATGTCTGCACTAGCTGGCTAAATAACAAATACTACCTAAAGGGTCTCTCTCCACTGTGGCTCAGCTGGTGCCGAGCTAGGTGGTACTTGTCGCAGAATGACTTGTCACAGCCGTCATGTTCACACACAAATGGTTTCTGCAAACATAACACATAATTAATTGACGCATAATTGGTAGAGGAAAAAAATCGTTGGTGTGGTGGTGGCATTAAATGCACAACGTGGGATGTTCAATCGTCATTACAATCAATATCCATTGATTCTTGAAGAACAATGTAACATAGCTCGATTTAGCCTAAACCAAGCCTAGTACAACCGTCTCATCTGAGCTAGAAAAAAAAACGTATTACTCTGGTGTTTGTTTTATATCGTCATTGGAGTCTGTATACACAACAATGTCATCTCAGAGACTATCAGTCCTTGCATCCACAGCACAGTCTAATAATTTGAGACTGGTTTAATTCCCCCAGCAGCTTTACCAAACCAAGTAGCGGGGCTGCAGTTGTGCTGAAGCACGAACTCAGGCTTTAACTTCCTGGCACTACATCAAAATATATTTTGGCAGCTGAATCGCCTAGCCACAGACCAAATACAGGGACTACAAAATTAACTTGCAGGTGTCCATGGCGTGTCTCAAAATGTTGCTAGCTAGCGATTAGCTTACCAGTAAACTGTACTCACCAGCCCCGTGTGCTTGCAAATATGAGCATCTAGTTTCCATGCTTTGTTGTACGATGCATGACAGTCAGGGAATGAACATATAAAACTTTTGCGCGGTACTTGCTGACTTAATTCCATTATAATCTGAAAAAGCGAGGATTACAGTGTGTTGTTGACCTACACACGTGTGGAGTTGACAGGAAGAAGACCTTTCGCCGCTACCATGTTGGCTCTAAAAAGAGGTGGGTTGTAATAATAAGAAAACAAAATACCATTCCAGTCACCAATCGCGTCAGTAAAATTTATATTTTTGTTAATAAATTGTAATACTACGTCGAAATGGACACGTTGTTTCTGTGTTTGTCGACACATTTGGGTATTTTTCTTTCGACGTTTAAAATAGGCTGACCCAGCAAAAACATAGCCCGTGTAAGCTATTGCACTCGTTTTGCCAGACGGATTGCCCCGTTTCTGACCCCGGCATTCTCGGCGCCTGTGGAGACGGGAATCCTATGCGGAGTGAGCCGCTCAATATTGACAGCAAGTTAAAAAACAAAATGCCTTGTTGAGACAAACATTTATGTTGTTTCTCAAAAAAGTTATATTGTTATACTAAGCAGTATAGAGACCAATGATGTAAACAAATGTTATGTTTTTGTGTACATAATTGGTCTAAGTAGTAAGTAGACTAGACACCCCCAGTGAGCACCCTCTGACACCGACGTCCATGGACGTTGAAAATACGTTCAGTCCGTCCAGCCTGGCCTTGATTTCAACGTCCACAGATGTCGTTTTCCGGTCCGGACCGGCCTTGATTTAACGTCCACAGACGCCTGGATCCGACTTGAATTGGCCCAAATATAGATGTCTATGGTTGGTTCAGATTTGGTCGAAGTTTGGACAGCACAGTGCAGTAGAGCACAGCAGAGGACAGTCAGGACCGGCATTATGGGTGGGCCTTAGGGGGCCTGGCCCTCCCTACCATACATCCTTGCCCATCCAAATAAAATATTTAAATATTGATAATTTATTAGACCGAGATGCGCGCCGACAGAAATACGCATCAATCTCAGATAAAACATCAGAGCGAGAGAAAAAGCACCCCTCTGTCTCATTATGTGTAGCCCATGTATCTGATACTGTCTGGCCAAAAATAATATTACATTTTAGCAGACACTCTTATCCAGAGCAACTAGGATTAAGTGCATTGTACAAGGGAACATTGCCAGATTTCTTTAACTAGTTGGCTCAGGGATTCAAACCAGCAACCTTTCGGTTACTGACCCAATGCTCTTAACCGCTAGGCTACCTGCCACCAACAGTGTGGCATGTCACACTCTTTTTGGCCAGACAGCATCAGATACACATTAAAATATAATACATTTTTACAGTCAAATTACGTCTTTACTATAAAACCCATAAAAAAAATGTGTCCACACGAAAGTGTGTGCACACATCGGAGGTGCTGTGGAAAAAAAAACATGGAAATCAAATGCCCATCCAACTGATTATTTCTGGCCCCGGCCCTGAGTACAGTACAATTAAGTATAGTAAAGAAAAGTAGAGTATAGTTCAGTACAGTACAGTAGAGTACAGTACAGTACAGTAGAGTAGAGTACAGTATAACATTATGTATTGTATTGTACTGCACTGTACGGCACTGCACTGCACTCTACTGCACTCTATTGTGCTCTACTGTACTATACTGTGCTGAACTGTTCTGTGCTGTCATAACTTGTGAAACATAGACGTCTATGATTGGTTCAGATTTGGTCCGGTCCGGAACAACCAAATTTGGTCTTGCTTCGGGGTGGAGCTTATTAGAATAATACCCAGCATGCTTTGCAAGTGTTCATTTTTACGTTTACATTTTGCTAATTTAGTAGATATGCTCTAATCCAGAGCGATTTACAGACTTACTGTAACCATTACTGAGAATGGTATTGTAGTTGAAATATTCTTTTTTTTTTTTCTGTTGTCAGAAAACATTGAACATGATCACTGTCAGAAAAAGCTAGTGCATGTGACAGTTGCAAGCAATAATAAATGTTCCACACTGCAATCTTCAGTTGGCTCCCTTTTCCTATTGTAGCCCTTTCCTGCAATCAAATGACCTAGTGGCCTCATCGGTGGAATGTTATTAATATTTTTCATAATTTCAAAATTAATTAACAAACACCGAAAATCCAGTGTTTCTATATCAAACGGTTTTGTTATATTTCAAATCGTGTTTGTTGCTCTTTCCTATATTTTATTGTTACTGTTACATAAAATACGAACAGGTTAGTAGTTTTGTCACACACAAACATCAAGGAGATACACTACATTACCAAAAGTATGTGGACACCTGCTCGTCAAACATCTCATTCCAAAATCATCTGCATTAATATGGAGTTGGTCCCCCCTTTGCTGCATCAACAGCCTCCACTCTTCTGGGAAGGCTTTCCACTAGATGTTGGAACATTGCTACGGGGACTTGCTTCCATTCAGCCACAAGAGCATTAGTGAGGTCGGGCACTGATGTTGGGCGATTAGGCCTGGCTTGCAGTCTGTGTTCCAATTCATCCCAAAGGTGTTCAATGGGGTTGAGGTCAGGGCTCTGTGCAGGCCAGTCAAGTTCTTCCACACCGATTTCGACAAACCATTTCTGTATGGACCTCACTTTGTACACGGGGGCATTGTCATGCTAGGACAGGAAAGGGCCTTCCCCAAACTGTTGCCACAAAGTTGGAAGCACAGAATTGTCTAGAATGTCATTGCATGCTGTAGCGTTAAGACTTACCTTTACTGGAACTAAGCCCAAAACATGACAAACAGCCCCAGACCATTATTCCTCTTCCACCAAACTTTACAGTTGTCACTATGCATTGGGGCAGGTAGCATTTTCCTGGCATCTGCCAAACCCAGATTCAACCATCAGACTGCCAGATGGTGAAGCTAAGGTATTTGACAAACTGACTTGTTGGAAAGGTGGCATCCTATGATAGTGCCACATTGAAAGTCACTGAGCTCTTCAGTAAGACCATTCTACTGCCAATGTTTGTCTATGGAGATTGTATGGCTGTGTGTTAGATTTTATAGACCTGTTAGCAACGGGTTTGGCTGAAATAGCCAAATCCACTCATTTGAAGGGGTGTCCACAAACTTCTGTATATATAGTGTATGTGCTTTTATTTATCCCTTATTTTACCAGCTAAGTTGACTGGGAACACACTCTAATTTACAGCAATTACATGGGGAATGGTTACAGGAGAGCGGAATGAGCCAATTGGATGCTAGATGACCATGATGGTATGAGGGCCAGATTGGGAATTTAGCCAGGACACCAGGGTTAACACCTCTACTCTTACGATAAGTGCCATGGGATCTTTAGTGACCACAGAGAGTCAGGACACCCGTTAAACGTCCCATCCGAAAGACAACACCAAACATGGGACAATGTCCCCGATCACTGCTCTGGGGCTTTTTTTTTTGACCAGTGGAAATAGTGCCTCCTACTGGCCCTCCAACACAACTTCCAGCAGCATCTGGTCTCCTATCCATTGACCGACCAGGACCAATTCTGCTTAGCTTCAGAGGCAAGCCAGCAGTGGGATGCAGGGTGGTATGCTGCTACTGGAATCAGGCTATGGAATCAGGCCTACTCAAGACTGCCATCAAGTGGCTAAATTGGGTTATAATGGCAATGACATGCTGTTGGTAAAACCAGAACTGCAGGCATATATATTTTCCAATCTCTATCACACTGTTCATTTCATTGAAAGTGTGTGGGTATATCAGATTGATCTCCATATTATAACTCAGGTGTGTAACAATATGTAACACTCATTTAACAGAGAATACATTATTTTTTGATTTACAAAATGATTAGCATTATTATTTGCTGTGAATTTTGAAAAATCATGTTAATTAAAAACTTAATCAATAAAAAATACAGAATGATTTAGCAGTTTTGCATAGCAACCAGTCAGTCTCCCTTATGCAAATGTGTATTACTGTATCAACAGGCAAAAAGTCATACCGTGGTTCTTGCCCAATTCCATGGCTTTGAAAGCTCATTTACCTCTTTGAAATGAGTAACAGAAAGCTTTTTGAGTTTCATTATCTCTAGATCTCATACAATACCAATATACAGTGTATACTGTGGTAGCATAGCTGTATGTCTTCTCCCACCCCCACACCCACACTTACGCACACGATGAGATTCCTCGAAGCACACGGTCACAGGCTTTTAGACACTCATTAGGCCATATGAATACAATAAGTGTTAGCTCCCATTACATGGTGTTGTGTTGGAGTTTGGGATTGGGACACCACCCCCAACTCCATACATGGGGTGCTACCTCCTTCCCACACAGCACTGCATCTCACAGAGACAATATATGGATTGTTTTCTCTCTCTGTTGCCTTTGCCTCACATACACACACACACACACACACACACACACACACACACACACACACACACACACACACACACACACACACACACACACACACACACACACACTCTCTCTCTCTCTCTCTCTCTCTCTCTCTCTCTCTCTCTCTCTCTCTCTCTCTTGTTCTCTCTCCCTCCTTAACACTATAAACAAGAATCACAGACTGCATACGTTAACAGACTGAATTTGAACATAACCCCCCCCCCCCCCCCCCCCCAAGGTTCCATCATGACGTAGAAACGCAGATTATCTTCATCTGGGGTTGGATCGGGACAGGCAGCTGTTTAAGGAACCTCCCCACCCCACTCTGTCCCTATTGCGTTGTCTCATTTATAGACAGCACACGCTGAGTTATAACAAAATCTTAATTAAGGCTCTTAATCCTCAGTGCCATCGCCTGGCCAATGCTGTGCACTCACGTGCAGACTACTCTTCAAAAGCACAAATCAATTCAGGACATGGATGAATAGAAAACACCTATCCATATGCCACAGGCCATGCCCAGTATCAATGTGTTACTGTAACAGTACTGTCATATTCTAGATTAGTCCAACACATTTACTGTTGATCTAGTGTAGTTTAGTGCCAGAACAACATTTTATAATGCAGTGATGAAGATGTGGACTGGTGTTCTGCGACACTCGGGACAAGGACCTGTGCCACATTCCGTAAGATATCTGATGGTACAAACCTGAATATCTCCTTACTTGTGTACTACTACTACTACTTCTACTACTTGTGGCTTCTTGAC